CACTTCAAAGTCTAGTAGGAGCTTTTGACCTAATCTGAATAGGTAGCCTTTTCCTTAGCAAAAATTTTCAGCATTCTTTTAATTTTCTTTTCTTTTCATGCTCAAATTTTTCAAAAAAAAATTTCAAATACATGCTCTATTTTTTAAAAAACAATAACCTATATAACTTTTATGAGCAATATGACCTAGTCAATTTCACAATGATTTTCAATTAAATTTTCTCAGAGTTGGACTAGCGCACATGAAAAATATGATCTCGAGAGACTTATCTCTAAAAATAGATAAACATATCAAATTGATCTTCACAAGTATAAATTACACATCAAGAACTTCATTAATCAAATAATCATGTGTCCCAATTTACATTCATAAAAGTATAGTGAATTTAAGAGAAATAAATATCACTCATATAAAACAAAGAAAACATGATATTTTCATTCTCAATGAAGACAAAAAAGCAAACAAAAGCCAAATCCTAAACTAATATATATGGTTCAATAGAAACATGATAGACATCAAAACACAATCCATGACCACAAAAATGTTTTAGGATTTACTCTTAGGGTTTTGCACTCAATGACCTATTGGAAACATATTTCATAGTATTAATAGGCACATACAACCACAAATCCTCTTTCTTCACCCAAATATCTTTCACCTTCAACTTTTGAGGAGATTTTTGAGGAACATCAAGAACATTATTTTTCTTATATGAATTCCTTTTAGCATAAATTTTTTTAGGTTAACTCCAATTATTTTTCTTTCTAGCATGAAACCTATTCTGTGCAAAGGAATTATTAATATGAAATTCAGAAGAAAAAAAATAATAATAAAATAAAAAATAATAATAATAATTTATCCATTCTCTTCTTGTAGTAATAGTATTGATTATGTCTACTTCTAGCACAATAAGAACAATAAAAGCACCTTGGACACATGCTTAGCAGGCAAAGACCTAACAAAAGATTTAAGTTTAGAAATAGGCACATTCAAGTCTTTGGGTTTAATAAAAACATATTGACCCTTCTTACTAGATGAAGCCTCATTAAAATTGACTCAAGTTTTATCACCTACATGCTTACCAACACTAATCATCTTATCAAGCTTAATCTGTCCATAAGTAAAAGCAATTAATTTCTCTTGTATGTTTTCAATTCAAGCTCAAGAAAATTAAATTTGGCAACAAGAGATTCTCTAGTAGAATTAGCTTAACTTACCTCTCCTTCAAGGAATTTTACTTTGCCATGAAAATTTTGAATTTCAGATTTGTTCTCCTTAAGCAATTTTTATTTTTGCTCATTCTCCTTATTCAAGGAATCTTTCTCCTTTTTTAAAGCATCTCTTTCCTTTTTCAAAGCATCTTTCATGATTTCTACTTCTCTCATCTACTTAGATTGCTCCTTTAAATCCATAATAACTCATATTTGTTAAGATCTCCTACACAAAAAGAAGAATTATTAGCAGTATCATCATCAACATGAGCAACAAAAGAAATAGAAGCAATTTTCTTATTTTTCTTATTTTTCAATTTAGAAGGATCTACTTTAATACGATTTTTATTCTTTTTAATTTTAAGGAGTCTTTCACATCTTTTAGATAAATGAAAAAGTTTCTCATCAGAGCTTAAAACATCAAAAACAAGATCCAATTCACCCTTATTCATAGGATTTTCCATCATGAATTTTTGGAAACAAAAATAATTAATTTTTCAAAAATAACTAAACTTCCACAAGGATCAACACAATATATAAAGGATGGCTCTGATACCAATTGTGAGTTGTACAATACGGAATGGATGTGGAAGTTTGTATTAAAAATAATTTAAAAGTGTGGTCAATAGGTCTTACACACTCCTTTATCTAATTTTTATTTATTTTAATTTTACTGAAATAAAACTAAAATCAAACCCACAAAGCAAAAATAAAGTTCAAGTACAGTAAATAAAATTTGAAAGATGACACCGAGATTTTTAGCAAGGAAACCCCAACTAGTGGAAATCAACCAATCATTATGGGAAAAACCTCGTGGACTACGCTGTCCAGAGAAAAACGATCCACTATATTTAAAGCAAAGTACACTAAACTTTAACTTAGGCTCACGCCCTATCGTTCTACTAAAAACTAATTGCTAACAATCCCCGACTTTGCGACTCTCTCGTCCAATAGCTCTCGACCTCAGGCTTACTCTTGATCTCTGTAGAAGGGTTGCAAGTAGATCAAACAAAACTCCATTAATGCTTTGACCCTTTCAAAGTGTGATCGAATCGCCTCTTTTATTCAATTCTAAATTTGATGAAGAACAATTAAAATCCTTCTTTTCAAAATCTCTGAATCTTCAATTATGCTCCAATTTCGATCAGATAGATAACACCTCTCCTAAATCACTCATGTGTATATGCGTGTGCTTTAAAAAAAATAATATCAGAAAAATCATATTTAATTTTTGAACAAAAATATCTCTCAAATTCTATCACAAAAATTCTGAATTTTAGTTCCAAAACGCCATATCACCCTAAGTGAGAAAACTTTTTTTTATAGACTTTTGAAAACCTAATTGTACTTGAAAAACAAGTCAATTTCGTGCATAACTATTATGGTAGAAGTCTATACAAAATAGGAAGCCAAAACAGATTGAACATGTGCCAACTACCTCTTGAACTGGTTCAAGTTGGCTAGAGAGAATTTTAAAAACCAAGTTTAATACTTAAACCTGTTCCACAAAAACTTGAACCAGTTCAAGTTAGGCAGAATGTGAAATCTTCCAAAAACCTAATTTTGAATCTCCCAAGTATCCTCACACACTCTCTTACCTTCCTAAAGTATTTTTCTCATCATCCCGGAGTGTATCGAAGTATGAACACTTGAATTTCTTCAATTCTGCTTCCGATCTTGAGTCTTGACAAATCAAACCAAAAATTTACAACTCGATTGGACTCATTTTGACAAAGAAATTAGCCAAAATACAAATATATATATTTCACAGCGGGTAGATCACGAACACTCCACGAATGCTTTGACCCCTTTGTAATGTGATCACTTCCTCGTTTTCTTTAAATCTGAATTGTTGATGAAAAAAAAAAACCTCTACTTTTTCTTAATGGTATCAATGGATCTTCAATTATTCAAATTCCTATCCGAAAGAGAACAACATTCTAAATCATTTGTGTGTATAGTATGGATGCTCTCAAGATGAAAAATAAACTGTTAAAAAATCTCACAAATTGGCTCTCTTACGATTGCATAAAATTATATTCAAAAGCCGTAGAAAACCCTAGGTGAGAAAAAGTTGTATATAGATTTATAGAGACCTAAAACAACTTGGAAAACAAGTTTAATTCGTGTAAAATCGTCCTACAAAAATCTGATAAAAAAGGAAACCAATTCTTTCCCAAATATGATACAAAGAAAGTGTAATACGTTGGACTTAAAGTGTAACATGTTGGATTTTTCCATGATGAATGTTTGAAAACAAAAATACTTTATTTTTTCCTAGTTAACAAAAATAGCTTTTATTTTTGAAAAAAAAAAAAAGAAAAGAAAAGAAACTTTCACAAATAACAATTCACTATTTCGAGTTATGTGCTCTGATACTAAATGTGAATTGCGCAAGGTGGAATTGGTTGTGGAATATAGTTTCAAAATCACTTAGAGGGGAATGAATAAGTGTAACTTAATCCTTTATCCATTTTTTTATTATTAAGAATTTACCAAAATAAAAACTAATTATCAACTCACAAAGTAAAAATAAAATGCAAGTAATGAAAAGTGCCAGTAAGAGATGACACCAGGTTTTTGTATGTTGAAACCTTTGTCGCAAGAAATCGATCCGACTAATCGGGATGAAAATCACGGAGACTTTCGAAGTCTCTAGCGAAACGATCCACTAATCTTCGAAGTAAAGTACAACAAACTCTAACTGATCAGGGTCACACCCATTCCACTTTACCTAGAACCAATTGTTAAATGTGTCTCTGGCTTTGCGACTCCCCGTCTAAATGCTCCAGACATCAGGCTTACTCCCTTGACTATTGTAGAAGGGTTGTTGGTATAATACGAACACTTCGCGAATGCTTTGACCCATTTGTAGTGTGATCGCTTCCTCCTTTCTTCAAATTTGAGTTGATGAAGATAAAAATAAACTCTCCTTTTTTCTAAATAGTGTCGATGGTTCTTCAATAATTCAGATTCCGATCAAATAGAGAACACCTTAAATCATTCGTGTGTATAGTATGCGTGCTCTCAAAATGAAAAATAAACACTCAAAAAAAACTTAGAAATTGGCTCTCTTAAGATTGCAAAAAATTGTATTCAAAAGCAGTAAAAAACCCTAGTTGAGAAAATGTGTTTATATAGATTTTGTAGAGACATAAAATAACTTAGAAAATAAGTTTAATTTGTTTAAAATAGTCTACAAAAGTATGATAAAAAGGAAACCAATTTTTACCAAAATATGATATCAGGAAAGTGCACCTGTTGGACTTTTTCAGACTTCAATTTTTTTAATAAAAACATATTTTTGCCAAGTGCTAACTCACTAAATTTGAAATATAAAGTGTTCGCATTCAACATATCTTCTCTAAAAGAAGTTCTCATTGAATCCAAGTATACATGCACGTGTTATTTTGTTTCTGATATCGAGATTCAAAAGTAAAATAAGAATTACAAATCAATTGGATACATTTTGATACCAAAATTAGTCAATTACAAAATTTATATCTCACAAATTCATCTATATTTATATAATGATTTGGTTTACTGGATAGACTAAGATAATTGATTAGAAATAAGACAACTATTTTAGGACAGTAAAAAAAAATATAAAAAAAAAAAAAAAAAATTTAAAATAAACTACTGAAATGGAGCCGGTGCATTGTGGGAATAATGGAAATTGGAACGAAGCTTCTCTATATACCCGAAAGATGACAACACTGAGAAGGCAGAGGGACCATGATGTCCAAAGCAAGTGCAACAATTGGTTATAAACCCAATGGTTCTAGTTCCCTACATGTTTTGAGGTCACACAGTACCCAAAAACACCCATGGTCTCTCCTTTGCCCCCACAAGCCCACATGACAATGTTTCTCTCTCATGCAATCCTCAAAGTCTCATTCTAAATACACCTACATACACACCCCTATTCTCACCACACCACCCTCACAACTTTCCCTGCTTTCTCTCTCATCCCAATTACAAACCTCTTCTCTCAACCTTTCAGCCCCCAAACAGAATTTCAATTCCTCTCTCTAGAAAAGAAAATATGGCCATTAAGAAATCAAACAAGGTGTCACAACCCACAGTCCTAAAGCAGATTCTGAAGAGGTGCTCTAGTTTGGGAAAGAAACATTGGTATGATGAAGAAGGGCTTCCTTTGGATGTCCCAAAAGGGCACTTTGTTGTGTATGTTGGTGAGAATAGAAGAAGATACATTGTTCCAATCTCTTTCTTGTCACATCCAGAGTTCCAAACCCTCCTCCAACGTGCAGAGGAAGAGTTCGGGTTCAATCACGACATGGGTCTCACCATTCCTTGCGAAGAAGTCGTTTTTCAATCTCTCACATCAATGCTCAGATAGACAGATTCATTGTGACTTGTTTGTTTGGAGAGAATTGGAGAAAGATCATGAAGCTGCTTCTCTGCTTCTGTGTTTTCAATTCTTTTTTTTCTTTTTTTGGGAGGGGTTATTACGCTACAGTTAATCTAACCCAGTACCCAAGAAGTACACCTTTTGGGTTCAAATATGTATATCTCAAAAAATTCAAATTTTCCTCACAGGGGTGTTTAGTTTGTCCCTGTGAGAGAACTAATATTAAGGATTGTTCCCCTGTTTTTTCTATCTATGTGTCTGTCTCTCTCTCACTAATCACTGTTGATCTAACCGCAATCACGCAAACAGGTATCATTTGTTTCAGGGTTTTGTTAGTGAACAGCTGGAAGGCTATGAAATTCAATTTGAACAATTAAATTCTGTTTAAATAGATATATTAATATATATCGATCACTCATATATATATATATATAAGAGAGCTAAACCGAATTTGTATGGAAATATAATAGAGATGAGAAAAATAATAGAAAATGTATCTGAACCTTTGTTGATCACGGAAATCTATGTTGACTTGCTTTTTATCTTCTCCAAAGAAATGGGTGGTCCTTGTTGCATGAGTTACTTGTATTAGACGCAGAGTTTCTTTAACGACTGTGCATATATATTTACAAATTAATACAGTGTGTGTGTGTATATATATATATATATCAAGGGGAAAAAAAATGTAATTTTAAATAGAGCAAGTCGAACATGGGGTGAATGATTTCAATAACTTATAACTTAACGGATCACTGTAGATGGGGGTTGAATTTGGGCCGGTGGAGGGATTTGCTCACACAACACTCAAAGTTTTAACGTGTTAGTTCACTCCAAATTTAAGTTTTTAGAAACTACCAAGTCTAAACTCGGCGTCATATCATATGAGTTTTATGAATTTTTGAAATATTTTGAATCGTTTCAAATTTAAATAACATACTAACAAATAAATACTAAAAGAAATTAAAACATTACGTTCACATGTCTAAACCATCCAAATGTGTGACAAAAATTAATTAAACCATGTGTAATATGATCTCATATAATGAATATGATTGATGACATTATTTATAATTTAATTTTAAATATAAAAGTTGTAAGCTATTTTTATATTTTGGGTTTTTTGTGTTCCTCGAGTTATTAAAACCTTTGCCCAATTATGGTTCAAAATAAATTCGAGTTCTAAAATTTAAACTGAGTCACATCCCATAATCTTAAGTACCTTACCCAATTCTATAAAAATTTTAGGCCAGAATCAGGTTGCTCGAGTTAATCCCACCCCTAATTATAGGGTTGTCCATCAAAAATATAATCTAATTTTATTGAATTAATGAAGTGAATTGGATAGTTCAGTCGGTAAAGAGATTATTAAACTCATTCCCTCCTCCTCCTCCTAATTGATTAATTTATATTTATTATATATATAGATATATATATATATATATATATATATATATATATATATATTCAAGTAGTGAAATTTTTTAAAATCATATAAAAGTTGTTGGAATTTAATTAAATACGTGTCCTTTAGATTCTAATGGTAAAAGTTAATCACTATTTTTATCGATCATTGTGTCATTTTTTCGTTTAAACACTTCGAAAGAGAGGAATTCTATTATTATTCATTATTAAAAGTGACATTGTGATTGGAGTGCAAAAAAACAACTGATCAACAAGTTTTGCACTACTTTAATGCTATTCTTTTGAAAAGCTGGTTTGAAATGTAACTTTCAAAATGATTCTTAATAATTTAAAGAACAAAAAATAATTTTTCAAGAACTATAATAGACAGTTATATAAAAATAGATATTTTTATTATTGAATCTTCATAAAATAATTTTAAAAAAATTGAACCTAGAGATACAAATCAAGTAATTATATATCATCCAAACTACATTGCCCATTTCAGGAATAATTTTTATTTTTTTTTAAAGGGAAATGCAATTAATGCATTGTTTCTTTTTAAAATTATTAAATTACCAATTTTAAGTTTAAATATATATAGTTTAATTTAATTTTTTTTTAAATTTTAAGGGTATTTATGAAAATATATAAAATATTTTGTTTGAATTTTTTAAATAAAACAAATATTTTGGGACAACTTAAAAAGAAAAGATAAACACTTAAAAAGAGGGAGTGTGTGTGTGTATATATATTCCTTTGCTTCTATAAATACTCAAACACCTCCATAATATCCAACTATATGACTCGTATTATTTTATACTCCTTTCGTCCTATAAAAAATGTTCACCTTTTTACTTTTTAGTTGTCCCAAATTAACTGTTGCACTTCTTCTTCCAATGCATTATTTTTTTTAAAAATACTTTTAAGTACCATCATTACCTTGTAGTTATAAAAAATTAAAATAATTCAAGTTACATGGACCCACATAAAAGGGTATATTTGAAATTTTATTACCTATAATTATAATATAAAAAAAAAACATTAAAATTACACCTTCAAAAAAATTAAGTTCCTTAAAAAAAACATTTATTTTAGACTCCAAAGAATAAATAAGAGGTTAAATCAATGGAGCTAATTACTATTGTTCGTAGATGTCTCGCTGGAGTGTCAAGCTTTTAAATATATCTAATATACTATACTATATATCTTTATGTGGAATCTAACCAGTGGCCCACTGATAGTATTTTTACAACAGAAAGATAACATTATATGACCCACTTGGCTCTTGGCAGTGAAATTATGTTATCTTACTGTTGCCACACAGAAATATTGAATGATTGCCAAAACCAATATAGGAGGATATATTTGGAGAAATTATTGTACTCCATGTAATTCAGTTCATAAAAAATAAATAAATAAATTTAATAATAAGTAAAATTATTATTCTAAAGAAACCTTAACATAAATTTTGAATGAATTAGATACCAAGTGACTCATAGTCTTAAAATAATTTTTTCAATATTTTTGTGACTGCACTCCGATTTTTATAATTAAATAGCATAGGATTAAGGACTTTTTTGGTCATTTAATATGAGACCAAAAAAATAAAAAATGGAGGGTTCATATGTTGTAGAGTGGAGTGAGATATGGGATCGTCCATACATAGCAGTATTTGTTTGGTGGATTTTTACTCTACCCTTGTTGATCAGGTGGTCCATTATCTAGATTTACCCTATCCTTATTTGATACGGTGGTCCCCTAACCCACAAGATCGTTATCTCTCGAAGGACAATATATCCGTACTGACCGGACACTCCTAACCGTTAGATATATAGACACGTGGGTGTCTTGGAGAAATTTTTACTATCTTGGTTTTGGGCCAATCATAAATGTAAAAAATGTGTAAGCAAAAAGTTAAAAAAAACCTACCCATTATTTTCTTCATGAAATTTTGCATCAACGGTTGGCCTGTGGGAACAATTAGGGTCTGTTTGAACAAATAGAAGAGAAAAGAAAAGAAAGGATGGTATTAGTTATGATAGAAAAAAATAATAATAATAAAATATAGTAATAATTTTTATTCGTATTTGGATAGATAGGAAAGAAAAGAAAAGAAAAGAAAGGATAATTATTCTTGTTTAGATAAGATAGAGGAAAGAAATAAAAGAAAGGATAGTGACCAAATTACTATCTTACCCTTTATAATAGTCATCACCTTACACCTTTTTCTTTTTTCTTTTTAAATTGAAAGTAGAGTTAAATGTCTTACCCATTTACATGGGTTAAATGTCTATATCCAAATTTTACATCCCTATGGTGAAGTGATAATCAACTCTTTTTTTCTTTTTCTGTTTTTTTTTTTTTTTTATGAGGTCGGTCAACAAACAACAAAAAGCAAAATAAATGAGAGCTTTGAATTGACTTGAATGCATAGCTCAAGTTAACAATTTAGTGTGTACATAATGCTTAACAGAGACCAAGCCTACTCAACAATTGGGACATAATGAATTACATAATTGGGACATAAATTGAATTACATTTTTGTATGTGGATTTGTAAAGGGTATTTTGGGTATTAAAAATGTACAACTTACTATCCCTCCCTATCTTATTAATTTAGGAGAGAAAGTATAAAAGGGATAGGGAGGGATCCCTATCTCTCCCTATCCTCTCTTTTCTCTCTACTTAAACTACCCAAACACACTTTCACACAATCCTCCCTTTTCTTTTCTCTCCCTATCCTTCCAAATCAACCCTACCAAACACACCCTTAGTTTCATGTAGAAATATAATTCAGACGCGACTTAGTTACGAAGCCACAAGAAATAGACGTACTACAACAAAATTTTAATAAAAAAGAATCATTCGAAAAAGGGCTTTGCTAATCACAATCGTCTTACGCGACTGTGGCTTTACAGTCGTTTATCCTATTAGTATAGGAATCAGATTCCATTAAATGCATTAATTACTTAAGTTTCTATTTTAGTGGAACTCTACAAACATTACTTTTTTAAACAAATATACCCTTTTAAATTATCTAACCTTTCTTCTTCTCTCCCCTTTTAATTTATCCATATGAAAATGTGTGCCTGTGGTATATTTGTCTAAAAAACTAATGTTTGTAGAGTTCTCCTAAAATAGAAACTTAAGTAATTAATGCATTTAATACATTTAATGGGATCTGATTCTTATACTAATAAGACAAACGACTGTAAAGTCACAGTCGCGCGAGGCTACTGTGATTAGCAAAGCCCTTTGAAAAATACCTGGCGTCCCAGATGATCATAAATGCATGGTTGTTCCCGATACTGCGACACTCGGGTCAAACCGAAAAGATTTCAACCACCTCAAACCCATCATTTTGAAAGATGGAAAACTTAATATCATCCATCAAAGACGTTCGCAGAAAATAGATTGTGGCAGAACATGACCTTATGAAATAAAAAAGGGAAAAATTGTCCCGACCAAACCTCAGGAAGAGCATCAAGAAAGCTAAAAGGAATGGTCTTCTTCCTTTTAGCTTTCTTGATGCTCTTGCTCGGGGAAGCGCATCAACACTGAACAATTTCTTAATTGTATTTGATGATTGTTTACATCTCTTTACACATGTATTTATATACATCACTATTTGATTTGCAAGTAAAGCTAGCTATGATATAATCCCATTGAATAAGGGGTTAATACAAATAAGGAAGTAAATCAAACTTGTAAAGGAATCTAAATATGTTGGTGATAAAGAAAAAATCCATAATCAGTAGTGATTTGGGATTCTTGCCAAATATTGTCTCGCAAACTGGATGTCGGTAGAGAGCTAGACCGGTTTGTGATGAACCAAGAGGGGAGAGG